CTTTCAGAGCTTGGTGTATGTTGTTTCAGGACCTCCTAGCTTTGAAGATCTGGACTAAGAAATCAGCTGAGATCCAAATTGGTTTCCCCCTATACATAATCTGATACTGTTTTCTGATGGCCTTTAAAATTCTACCTTATTCTGTATGGTGGGCATTTTCATTATAATGTACCTTCATATGGGTTTGTTCATTTGGGGTCCTATAAGCCTCTTGTGTTTCATTTTTTATTTCATTCTTTAGGTTTGGGAAATTTTATGATATTATTTCATTGAAAAGATTGTGCATTCCTTTGGTTTGTATCTCTGCACCTTCATCTATCCCGAAAAATCTTAAATTTGGTCTTTTCATGGTATCCCATAATTCCTGGAATTTCTATTCATGGTTTCTTACCATCTTCTCTGTGTAGTCAATTTTATTTTGAAGATTATATATTTTGTCTTCATTGCTTGAGGTTCTGTTTTTCAAATGGTCTAGTCTGTTCGTGATGCTTTCCATTGAATTTTTTATTTTGTTATTGATTTCTTCATTTCAAGGTTTCTGCTTGATTTTTTTTAGAATCTTGATCTCTTCATTGAAGTGATCTTTCACATCCTGAATTTTATCTCTGATTTTATGACTTTATATTGTCCTTTATGTCACAAATCAGTTTAACTATGTGCATTCTAAACTCCTTCTCTCAATTTCTTCTATTGTATTGTCAATGGATTCTATTGGTTTGTTTGGGGCACTTTCCTACCTTATTTTTTTGTGTTGTTTGTGTGTCTTCCCATCTAGCAGTGTGGATCTACTGCAGTACAGTTTCTACCGTGTATATTTACAGTGTCTCTCCTTTAAGGGGAGACCAATATTAACAGCACACAATGCAAAAATATACAGCCCTAACCCATATAGCTTCTATTAAGATGTCTACAGTTTTGTCACAATAAACAAAAATGATGTGTTCAATTATTGTCTACAATATAAACAGTGAGTTTGCAAAAGGGTTTACAATTTCAAATGGTGGACAAAGAGAGAACAGATGTGATGTTTATGAGGAGGGAGAAAAGAAGACAGAAGTAAAAAATTATAGGAAGAGTGAAAGAAGAATTAATATATGATGGTTATTAGTAGAAGAAAAGAGAGAAAGAAAATCTAGGGAAA